CCAGTGTTTTGATTAATACCAGCCATTAAATCCACATCACATGCCATTTGTTGCATTCGTTTGTATTTAGTTTATGTTTTGCAGTTGTGCTACTTTTTCAAAACATATGTGTCACGTTACGAATCGCGAAATTATTGGGCTTCATTTTTAAAATTTTTAAAATATATTTGCTTATCTGTGGATATTGTTGATATACATATCTGTTGTAGAGTGTGGATACAGCTTGTATGCTTATCTGTGGATATTGTTGATATACTTATCTGTTGAGAATGTGGATATAGCTTTTATGCTTATCTGAGTGTGAGATATAGTTTTTATACATATCTGTGGAAATGATGATAGAGCTAGCATGCTTATCTGTTGAAAAAGGGAAAATGAAAAGTAATTTGGACTTGTAAGTCGTTGACATAAATATGTAATTTATGTGCTTGTATCAGTGTTGACCAACTATCAATTGCTAATGTTTTAGTCATTGTTCATGGTTGGTTTAGTGTATTTCTACTGGGCTGTGGCTCACCCTATATGGGAATATCATTTTCAGGTACAGGAAGCATGCCACCTCCAAGGACATAGCTGGGAGGCTAGTGGCGGACATAGTTTTGTCGTTTTACTTTTGATGTATTACATGTAATTTTAAGCCAAGGGCTTAATGTGTAAACGAGTTAGAACTCTTTGTTGTAACCAAGTGTTAACTTGGAAAGCTGTAAGCCCGTAGGGCATTTTGTTATGAGATTAACATGTAATACTTATGTCTTGGAATTCTAATGAATGAAAGGGATGCAGTTAGTTTAAATGTAAATGCATGTCTTATCTGATGGGTTTATTGTTTTTATTTTGAGGGCGTTACAGTGAACGCTATGTAATTTCCACTGTCAAATACAGAGAACGACTGGAAAATCCATTTTAGGCTTTCGAGTGGACCAGTCAATATTTTCCCAGTTAACCGAAGGAGGAAACATCTTGTAGTCCCTTTGCATGAAAAAACCCTGTTTATTGTCGTTACACATTAGTGTAAGATATAATTTAATTTACAAGTGAAAGGTCATAATTATAGGAGAACTCTAATTTTTACATTTTTTAGAACCAACCTGACATTCTTCTCCGATTATGTTGATTGAATCCAACCATTTTACAGAGCGGGCACCTATAACACCGGGGGCAACCACACGAAGTGGATATCCATGATATCTATTTAGAAGCTTTGGTATGGTAAACCAGTCAAATTTTGATAAGAACAAACAACATGGAGGAAGATTAGTCGAGAACAAGAGGATTCAAAAAACTTAGAAGATATTACAGTTCATTTCTTCCATGAATTTTCTATCCAAATCCAATGCTTGAATTCCATGCTGCCAAATGCAACGCAAGCAACAATGCATTAAAATTTCCTACCTCTCCGTTCATCTCGTATGCAATGTTAGTTTTCAGTGAGGTCCCCGGAAATGCAGCGAAGGTTGGTTCTAGCTAAACGGACCGCTCCGGACGCAACCGCGAGGTCAGAATAGTGAAATTCTGAACGGTTTTGAAAGATTGTCAAAACATGGGAGTTTGTCATCTTCAATAGTCGAAGAAAGGTTGCCGGATATTGTGGAACGCTGCGGATTTACTGAATAGGTTAGAATGGGCAGATTCTGACCAGATTGGACAACCAGATACAGATTGAGATAGATTATTGAAGACCAGAAGAGATCAGGCTTGATTAAATGACAGATCGAGGGAGATCAAGATTGGTCAGGGGAGATCAGAGGATTGCAGAAATGATTATCTCCGGAGTTCGTTGGAGGATCTGGTTCAATCAAAAGAGAAGACCATTCATCGACGGATAGATGATTTGGCAACCAGTACAGGCTCAGGGAAATACTGTGGCTGTTGGAGCTACTGTATACGAGAAGGTACTAATGGTATGTGGACATGTAGAACAATAGTTGCAGAGGAAGATACTAAGCGCAGAAGTACAATTGCAGATGTGCAACAGTGCAAGGGTACGCTAGAGTGTCGTACAGAGGCGCGAGAAGAGTGTACAGCAACGGGTTGTTGACAGTTCACAGAAACTTCCAGACAGAGAAATTGAGACAGGTAAAACGCAGGAGTGCGTGCCAAGGAGTGGCGAGTCTTATTTCTCTATGGTGGTTTCTTTAGTTCCATGGCAGTAGATGATAGAGTTGATGCAGATCTCTCAAGCAAGCTTGACGCAGGGAGACTAGAAGCCATGGGTGCGAGCACTATGCACGGAGTTGCATAGTGGTAACTTGTACAGACCGGTGGAAGTTGTCTTGGTAGAAGGGCTAACTGTCAAACATCAGTACAGACGTACAAGTGAGACAGAACCGAACATCAGGGATTGCAGCACAGACAACGGGCGTATGAGATCGCTGGGAAGTTGTTCTGAAGTGCAGAAAGCAAAGGCTGGTTGTTCAGAAATAAGCTCCGAGCAAGGAAAATTGAGGATGTTGATATGTCAAACTCTGAAGTTTTCTAGTTGCTCCCGTGTTCATCATGCAAGGAGTTGCACGGTAATGCAAGGGTATCCCGAGCAGGGGGTACAAGGCATCCAATTAGGGGTGCTTGATACCTTGGCAGCAGGTTTTGTTGTGGATCACCTCACATGGGCTGAGGGAGTGATTTGTGGGATATCATCACCCATGTGAGGGATGATTCTCCATGTGAAGAAGGAGTTGGCAATGTGCAAAGCCAACACAAGAGCTGGCCATGTTAGGAAACCTTTGGCCATGTGAAGCCAACACACAAGAGAGTTGGTACAAGTTGGCCATGTGCTGGCCAGCCCCTCCATCCACCATTCTGTTAGTGTATAAATGAAGGCTGAGGGGAGGGTTTGGAGATCATCAGAAATTAGAGAGTGAGAGCTGTGAGTTGAGTGAGTTTCATCTCCTCCTCTGTATTTTGTATTTTGCACCATTTTAGTGAAAAATTCTCATTTCTGTCCGTGGATGTAGGCATTGGGCCGAACCACGTAAATATTGTGTTCTCTGTGTGTGTGAGATAATTTTCTGGGTGTCTTTGATCCTAACATGCAAGTAGAACATCAGCTTCAGAATTTATGGAATTGATGCCTTATATGGACCTCCTTTCTACTCCTAGTAGTCCAAATTACTTGGAATTGAATTAAATTAATCCACCAAACAGTGTAATTTCTTTATAATTAAGATTAAATGAATTTAAGAAATTTTCACCTTGCACATATCAACGCTTACAAATTCTACGTGCTTTCCACCCAAAGGAGTGGTTTTCGTCAATTTAGGTATTCCCACAAGTTCAAGAACATCAGCGAGTTTGGCTCCACCCCAAATGGCTTAAGCAAATATGTGCAGAAGATAAAATATCAATAGAGAGAGAGAGAGAGAGAGAGAGAGAACAAGAATGAATATGGTTTTGCAAAATGTTTTGGAAAACACAGAAGCGGTGAAAATGTACAAAAGAGAATGAATAGAAGCAAGCCATTTCCAATGGCAGAGATATCCCAGCCAACACCTTTCACTGCTCTTACTTTGCTCATTGCAGTCCTTCTATTACCTGCACACTGCATAACTTTAAATGAAAAAGAAGCAACAAATAGTTCAAATTGGGTAGCCACATAACAATTGGGTTTAGCCCAATGGCCAAAGCTGGTGTATGCTAGAAGTCAAAATAGTTCAGCTACGAGCACATAAACTAATCATAGAATTGAACACATAATATATATTATGTAAAATCTAATCCATCTATATACATTCTGTCCATTTATGTGTTCTTTGACTTGTATTGTATGTAGTAGGTGTATGTAAACTTACTTGCAAGGTGGCTGTCACATTGTATTTTGGTAGCTTCCTGTAATATAAACCAGTAGATAAATTCCAATTTCAAATAAATTCACAAGGACATCCATGGCATGATATGAAGATCACTACAATTTCAATGAAAAAAATATGAATTTTCTTGAAGGAAATGGAAGTTAAATTGATATTAACATGTGCACTGATACATTAATCTTTCCTCAAAGCCAAGAACATTGTGTTTATGAGAGTAGGAAATACTTACTTGATATCAGCCATAGAGAGTTCTATGGGCTTTTCCACTAGACCACCTAGACATACTCTGTAGCTGCTTTGCCAAACAGTTTGTGAAAACATTGGATGTTTTCAATATTTTTTTATTTTTATTTTTAAATATGAAAAGTAAAAAAAAGGAATTGACTTTCAGTGAGAAAAATTCAAAGTAATTGTACAAATACGGAAAAGTAGGTGAGATAATGAGTTCTAGTGCAGGTAACCTCATAACACATACCCATCGGGGTCATTCTACTTTCACACAAAATTTTCTCTCAGTAGACATATTTAGTGAATAATTTTTTTTATTTTAACTATATCATTAAGTAAAATGATTAATTTGAAAATAAATTATTTTAGTAATTTTTTTAGCTTTTTATGAAAAAATATACAGAAAAGTAGAGAGAGTGATGCGATTACTTATTGTAACTTTTTGGCTAAAATTAAATGTTGCCAAAGGAGGTCACTTTTTGCAATTATTTTGAATTATTTTCACTAAAATGCAATTTTTTCAAAAATAAAAACAAAAACAAAAACGAAGGAAGTGAAAACAGAATTATACCTTTCAATGTCATCAACAATGGGGACTGGACCATGGTTTCGCTTGTAGAAGAAGTCCACCGGAGTTACGTAAGAGGAAATCAAGGCCGAACGAGGTGGCTCAGCATTGAAAGGTTCCTATGTATAGGCATATAATAGCAAACAAGAGTGAGTGAGTGAGCGAGTGAGGTTTACAAATCCCAAAATCCAACAAGTGAGGAATGTGAATTCCACAAAGTTAATTTCAATCTTCATTGGGGGTGTTTGATGGATTATGGAAGCAGTTTATAGCTTATTTTCATATAAGAGTTTGTGTCAAACTGTTTGTTACAACTCCTGCTGGTTGCTTATTAGACATAAATAGCATAAATAAATAGAAAAAAATTGATTTTTTCAGCAGCTGAGAATATTTTAGTTTCTGTGTTTTCTGATTATGAACTTTTAATTTAAATAGTCTCCACCAAACACCCTCATTGTCTTTGGAAAAAGCTTTTTCAAAATCAAAGAAGAGAAACTTGCCTTGGAATTGATTAGCAGGATTGGACGACGAGGTGGTTCTTTCGAGTAATCGCAAGGGGCTCTTAGTCCTGGCATTCTCACCTTCGATCTTCCCTGCAAGAATTGTAGAGAGAGAGAGAGAGAGAAGCAAAACGATGCGAATGAGAAATGCAGGGTTGTTTACATGTGGTTAATGGTGGAGGAGAGTGAATATATTCATCGAAGGAGAACCACAACACAACCTCAATTTGGTTGGCACATAACAGTTGATCCCTTTCTGCCACGTGGCATTTCTTGCCAGGAATCCTTCCCAATAAAGTCGAGAATTTATTTGGTGGTCCGGACACGGCGACATGGTGTCCCAGGTCTGAGAAGAAAAAAAATGGTGTCCCAAGTGAGTTGTAATTGGTGGAATATGTAGAATTTATGATTTTATATTGAATGATTGAAAAATAAGAAAATACATGGTAAATTGTGATTGATCAAGGGCAAAGTCACATGGTGTCCCTGGACCACAATATAATTTTTCAGCAAACTTTCTCTCTTTCTCTAGTGTAATATTTTATAGTCTAAATTATCATGTAAGATTATTTACATGTCTAAAGTTAATTATGAAACATAAAATTTTATAAGTGAAAGAGTTAAGAAATGAATAATCTTACTCTATGTGTGTTGTAATTTCTTATTTGACAAGAGTACTTCAATAATTTTTCATTAATAAGAGATTTAATGTTGTCAAGTTACACTTCCTTAAACAAGTGAAAAGATAAAGTATCGTATTTTTTTTTTTTGGTTGTGAATTTGACTAATCATGATTAATTGAAATCAAATTTAACATGTTGGCCCAAACATTACAATAATTTTCTATCTCAAACACAACACACTTTTTATTTTTTAGAAAGAAAATATGGAAAGCTTTACAATAATTATGAAGAATATAGGAAATGAGAAGTTTCAAAAGCACAACGATAAAATTGAAATCGAAGCATGACATCTAGTAAGTTAGGAGGCCAATCCATTGGTCGTCACATTCACACAACACATAGTTAAGCGTATGAATAGAATAGAATGATTCTGGTCAATATATTTTATTTTTAAACACTTTTCAAATTATTATTATTGTTATTTTAAAAGTTTAACATTTATGATTTAAATGGGATATTGATGAATATATATATGAATGTACACATGTGTTCTTGAGCTTCTCCTATGAAGAATGCCCAAGTGTTTTTAAAAGTAAAAAAACCTCCATGTTTAGAGGCATCATCAGTTTTATAACAAACAAGATTTTATTTTTGGGTAATACATTTTCGTCTTTTTTCAAAGCCAAAAAAACACAAAAACAAACATAGCGTGAGAAGGCTTCTCATCCCAGCCATGGGAGACCCATATGTAAAGAGCAGCCTCCTAACTGAACCTGTCGCGAAGGTTAGTTTCTTATGCTTTTCATTTTTTCCTATTGGATATATAGTTTAATTATAATTATTTTTATATTTTCAATGTTTTAAATCACTTATTTTCCAACTCTATTTATTTATTTTAATGCACATAGAAATCCTCCTCACCCATTAGTATTTGTACGCCAACGCTGTATTTGGTTGGGGGATTTGGGGAAAAAGGTGTGTGAAACTAGGTGAAATATAGGTATGTTTTATTTACATTTCATATACCTTTTTCATTTTCCTTTTCAAATCCCTCCTCAAATCCTCCAACCAAACACAGCACAAGGATCTCTTGCACTTAAATTTATGTCTTTCAATCTCAACGCTCTCTCTCAATTTCATGATTGTGTATTGAAATTTCTACAACATCATGCAATTAGTGCAAAGCATTTTGTGCCATGTTTGTAGGTGAAGGATGTTTGGACTTTAATTTTTGTCTCTATGTTCCAACGCTTTCTCCATTGCATGATTATCTGAGATTTCTACCAAATCATGTGATTGAGAGTGCATTGTGTGCTGTGTTTATATGCCCAGATACAAGTCCAACTGATTTGCAATTATATATATATATATATATTAAATATTTTCATCACTTACATCTGCAAGTATAATTTTAAAACTCATGCTTAAGATCTTTAAAATTTGCTTTCGCTTAGGGATGTTTCGGAAACTTACCTCTTTGGTATTGCTTTTGTTTTTCACATTTTTATTAAAGTTTAAAAAGTACATCGCTTTCGTTTTGTGAGAAAATAGTTCTTGAGAACAATTTTTGTGTGTGTGTGTGTGTGTTTCTTAAGCCATTTGTATTTAAACTTTTATTTATTTATTTGTTTTTCAAAAAATGAAAACAAAAAACTGAAAATGATACTAAACATTTTAGAGAGAGGTGCCGGATAAGAAGTGAAAAACATGGGTTGGTTTTAAACCAACAATTCCTGACAAAGCGGTTTTGGCAAACCAACTTTGAATTGGTTTGCAATGCAGCACTTGGCAAAGCAAAATTTGGCTGACTTATTATTTAGGGTTGTTAAGAGCCGGTTTTGTGGACTGAATTTATTTATCAAAAATTTATAGTATTCAATTTTAAGTGATAAATTTATTATTATAAAAAAATATAGATTGCGTTTGGTAAAGTTTTGTAACTATGATTTGAGAGTATGAGTTGTATTTTGAGTTTGTGAGTTTTGGAATTATGATTTGAGTGTGGAAAATTTGTTTGGTGAAAGAGTTTTGAATTGAGTGGGGAATTTTTGATGTGACATTTGATATTTGATACAAAAACTTACAACTTATAACCAAACATACAACTCCAAATTCTATTAAAGCACATAAAAAATTTATATTTTTTTTGAATATATAAAAATTAACATATCAATGGCAAAAAAATAAAAATAAAAAATTTGCACTTTTCCGGTCAACCGGCAAGACGACCAGTGGGACGACCGATTAGGCCAAATTTCAAAATTTCTTTTTTGAAAATCACGCTCTCAAGTTTTCTTCAGAGTTGTGAAAAATTAATTCCACAACTCTATCCAAACATCATATTCAAATGTAGGAGTAGAAAACTCGTTTGAAACTGGTTCCAAACATAGCCATAATTCAGCTAGTTATGCTTCTCACTCATTTAACTTATTAATTTCTACCATTTTTACATGATCTTAACAAACTTGAGATGTGGATTTCAAGTCGTACCGCAAGTTTCACTTCCCGCCACCCTTTTCCTTTTTCACTAAATAAAAATGTTATTATATGTATATAAAATAAAAACAAAAACTATGTGCGCACTTTAATCTCTCAAACTCTCATATTGTCGATCAAAAAAACTTTCTCAAATTGTAATTCTAATTCTAACATATTGATTCTCTATGTCAGTCTAATTTTATCAAATGTCCACACTACAAAAAATTTCACTTTTGACAACTAAATTTTTAGTCGCCAAAAGTCACTATTTAGTCGCCGAAGGCTTTTAGCGACAGAAATATTTGGTCGCAGAATTAGTCGGAGAAGAATTGTTGGGAAAGATCATTGGCGACTAAAATTATTTTAGTCGCCAAATGTACTACATTGCTGACTAAGTTTTTAGTCGCCAAAAGGTTTGAAATAAAATTAAATATCATATTTTCGGCGACTAATTTTTTTGTCGCTAAAAGTTTGGTTTTTTTAACGACTAATCATTTAGTCCCGGAAAAGAGTTTTAGCTGCTAAATATAGCGGTCCCGGGTTTACCCTTGTTGTACAGAGATCCGGACATGTGTCCGTGGATGTTAGTAGTTGATTATTATCTTGTTTACATCCTTTTTACTTCGTATTTGGGTTATAAGATGTGTTGGGCGGATTTGTTTCAGGTTGGTTGAGTTTAGAAACCAAAACTAGTTGCCCAGATTTTGGCCTGTCCGCTCGAGCGGGGGTGTTAGCGCTCGAGCGGGAAATACACCCATCCAGTATTTCTTGTGCAGTGTTGTACGCTCGAGCGTGGGTTTGGCCGCTCGAGCGGGGTTGTGTGAGTGCCGCTCGAGTGTAGAGTTGGGAGCTCAAGCGGAGGCCTGGTTCTGTAAAAGTGCTGGGAGAGTGCATCCGGCGCTCGAGCGGGAGTTTGGCCGCTCGAGCGGGGGTCTATGAGTGACGCTCGAGCGGAGAGACTGGGTTAAAGCTCCGTGTTTTGACTTTTCAAATCACTTTTTCACCTTCTCTTCTCTCTCCTACTTCTCCAAAAACACCATTGTTGAGCCTCTCACTCTAGAACTCTACCTTCTCTCTAGGTTTTGATCTAGTAAGAGTGGTTTGCTCACCTTTGGCCTTTACAAAAAAGTTGTTGATCGTCGAGGGCTTCATTTTAATCTGAAAATCTCGGGTTTTGGAGCACGTTGGGTTTTGTCGTCTTCTCCTTTGGGACTCCGAATTTGAGGTAGGGATATCCTACTCCTCTCTATGGATCTCACCAATACCTAAAAATATTTTTCCTATATAGGGTGAGCCAAAACCCAGTAGAAATAATCCAACACAATATATTAATCTTAATAAAGATATAAGGGTAAAATGTATATGCAATGCTCATGACAAAACAATTTATATCTTTCCCAAAAGCCACATAATGCTGGGTCTATGTCATAGTTCTCCAAATCATTTCCTTTAAAATAGAAAATAGGGGGAAACTCAACTTCGTATAGCCTTTCACGGATATTTCGTCCGCGGGAAACCGTCAAACGGGACCCATGTAAACGTAGGCTATGCAAGCCCTACTATTACCATTTTACGGATATTTCGTCCGCAGAAATTGGCACCTATGTATGTGCGCGTTTTTCAGGACTTTTACCCTGGACACATAGGCCAACTTAATTTGGTGATGCACACCTCATTCCTACATTCACCCATTTTTCTCAAAATCACATACATGTATAATTTTTGCTCACCCTAGACACATAGGCCAACTTAATATTTTGCTCACTACGAAATATACACATTTTCATTCACTACAAGAATATATAATTTTTATGTATTAGTGTTGGCCATCTATCAATTGCTAATCTTTTAGTCATTGTTCATGGTTGGTTTAGTGTATTTCTACTGGGCTGTGGCTCACCCTATATGGGAATATCATTTTCAGGTACAGGTAGCATGCCACCTCCAAGGACATAGCTTGAGAGGCTAGAGGCGGACATACTTTTGTCGTTTTACTTTTTGATGTATTACATGTAAATTCAAGCCAAGGGCTTAATGTGTAATGAGTTAGTACTCTTTTGTTGTAACCAAGTGTTAACTTGGAAAGCTGTAAGTCCATAGGGCATTTGCTCTTGTTGTTAACATGTAATGCTTATGTAATGGAATTCTGATAAATGGAAGAATGTGGAACCTTTACACGTCAATGCATGTCTTATTTGATGGGTTTAATGCTATTATTTTGAGAGCGCTACACTAAATATATTAGTAGCCTAAAGTAAATTAGAATGTTTTGGCTACTAAGATTTGAGTCGCCTAAAGTTAATTTTTTTTTTGCCTACTAAAGGTTTAGTCGCCTAAATTATGTTTTTAGCTACTAAGATTTTAGTTGGCAAACATTTTCTGTTTTGGCTACTAAATATTTGGTCGCCTAAAGTCTCACATTTTTTTGCTACTAAAGTTTTAGTTGCCAAAAGTTTTTTTTATTTCTTCAGTTTATTTTTTTAGCTACGACATATTTTAGTCGCCATATGTTCGATTTTTTTTTTTGGCTACTAAAATTTAGTAGCCAAAACTATTTTCTGAATTTTTTCTTTAGCTACTAACAATTTAGTCGCCAAAAACATGCTCTTATGGTTCATCACAAAATTATAATTTATTCACAACCTGTCTATATTCCATGTAACCTATAATACGTGTACAAACAAAACAATACATATACTATCCATCATTTCACAACGTAAAATTATCAATCATGCCATAGTCCATATTACTTCCAACCATCCAAAAATGAATAACTTTAAATATATATATTCCATACAAACCAACTATTGTTCAAACTAAAATTATATTTCCATACAAAAATTCAACCCGCCATATGCAAAAAATATATTTACTACCATGCAATATGGCCATTTGGCGTGGTACAACTTGCCATCGTTGGATTACAAAAGTGATCTATATGCCACACCAACAACTATTAGTTGGATTACAAAAGTTATATGTATCAGTAATGCTAATATTCACAAAAGCAGAGGAAGACATAGTTAGCATGATTATACAAAAGCGCCAAGTGTCCTTCATAAACAAAAATGTAGACTATCCACAAGTCCACGCCAAAAGCCATCTACAAAAAATAAAAAAACTATTGCACCCATTACAAAATATCAATTCATTCAGACATAGGAAAAATGTTGTAATAACATGCATTTAAGGTAGAACAATCTATAAAAATCTTTTTTCGAAATACAATCATATGTATGTATCATGAAAGATTTCTTCCAAACTTGATTTCAATTTACAAATAATACCATTTCTAGGAGCATACCTTTTCATAAAATAAATTTTTATGAATAGAATGTTTTGGTGATAAATTTATTTTAACTCTTCTTCATTCTCATTTTCCTAGTCAAAGTAAAATGATTGAGTAATCTACGGGGTTATCTCTATAACCATATCATGCTTTCTTAATACGTTTACCACCCAAATGACCATCGTGTATGATGAAACAATGGCATCATTCACAATGAAAATGTTGAACATTTATTGGATGTCAAACTCTCCTTTTTTTTGAATAAGTTTAAGTCGTTTCCGGCTCTAACTCCCAAATTACGTGTGCTAATGACATTTTGTCTGTTGTCACAAGTCTTATATGTCACGGGGAAGCTGGCCGTTACATCCCTACGGTGGTTCCGGGACTGTTTTGCTTTTTCGCTCCCTTAATGCCCTTTTTCGGTTAAGGTTAAGGCGTTTTTGGTTTTAACTCCCAACCTAAACAAGCTAATTACATTTTGTCTGTTGTCATAGATACTATTTGTCACGGGGAAAGTGACCATGACATCCGTATGGTGCTTCGGGGGCTGATTCGCATTTTCGCCCCCTTCACGCCCTTTTTCGGTTTAGTTTAAGGCGTTTTCGGCTCTAACCCCCAACCTAAACGTGCTAATTACATTCCGTCTATTGTTACAGGTCCTATTTGCCACGAGGAAGGTGGCTGTGACATCTGTACGTTGGTTCGGAAGCTGTTTCGCATTTTCGCCCCCTTAACGCCCTTTTTCGCATTTTCGCCCCCTACACGTGCTAATTACATTCCGTCTGTTGTCATAGGTCTTATTTGTCACGAGGAAGGTGGCCGTGACATCCGTACAGTGGTTCGGGGACTGATTCGCATTTTTGCCTTAACGGCCTTTCACTACAGGAAATTACACTTTTGGCGACCAAATTTGGTTACTAAAAAAAATTTAGTCGCCAAAAGTGATGGAATTGGCGACCAAAAATTATATTAGTCGGCAAAAATACATGATTTAGCTACTAATTTTTTTTAGTCGGGGTATATTGATTATTGGCGACTAAAAAAAATTTAGTCACTAAAAATGTCACAATTGGCGACTAAAAAATTTTTTGGTCGCTAAAAATGCACCAATTGGAGACTAAAAAAATTTTTAGTTGCTAAAAATGTCACAATTGGTGTTAGTTTTGGCTACTAAACTTATTTAGTCACCGAATGAAAAATAAAAATAACTAAATTTTTTATCGACTAAATGTTTTAGTCAGCAATTTTAATTAAAATTTTGGAGGGAGGATTTTGAATTTTCGAAGGGTTCCTAAATTAATTGGCGACAAAACTATTTTCCAATCAGGAAAAAGTTAAAATTCTGTCTTTGGCGACCAAATCTGTTGTTAGGAAAAAAAAACAAAAAAAAAACAAAAAAGGGTAGGTTTGAAGGACTAATATGTATATATTAATCTATGTTGTATGTACTCAGATTGAACATCAAATAGAGCAACTAGATTCAAGTGTTTGAATTTCCAGTTATTATTAGGATTACTTTTATAGCAACATCAATTTATTAGCAACATCAAATAGAGCAACTAGATTCAAATGTTGTATGTACTCAGATTGAACATCAAAAATTTTATTTCATATATGTTCGAGTATGCAAAACTAATGATTAATTTGAAAAGATTACTTAATTTTGAGTTTTATATGTTTTTTTTATAATTTTTAAATTGGCCAATATTTAGTCAATACTAATTTGGCGTGGTACAACTTTTTTTTTTTTGACGTACAAATATGGATATGGCTTTTTTTGACAAGTACGGAAGGGCATTTTTTTTATATCTCCGTCCGTATATATAGTGGTTCATACAAATTAGTATTTTGGAGTGATAAATATCCAAAATTTGGCCTGATAGAAATTAGTATTGGACGTGATACAAATTAGTTTTTGGGGCGGTACAGAATAAATTTTTGGTGTGGTATAGATTTCCTTTTGGATATTAAATTTGGTTAATCCTCTATTATGTATGGAATTAAATTATTGGGGTTAAATTATACTTGGTTCGTATGGAATTTGTATTACATTTAGAATTGGACGTTGAATATAAATTTTTTGGATGGTTAGAAGTGAAATGTGTGCCCGTTGTTGAATTGTTGATAATATATTCAGTATTGATGGATTATATTGTTTATACAGGATACAGGTTGCACTAATAATGGATACAGGTGGTTCAAAAATTTAAAAAAAAAATAAAATTAATGTAGTATTTGGTGACTAAATATGTTGGTAGCAAAAAATGTAAGCAAATGTTTTGGCGACCAATAATTTAGTAGCAAAAAATAACCAAATGGCTTTTTGCGACCAAACCACATAGTAGCTAAAACAAATCAGAATGAGGGAAGTTTAATTGCCGATTAAATATTTTTGTCACTAAAAACATGACATCCTTAGGCGACTAAAGTGTTTGGTCGCTAAATGTACGTATTCTATTAGCGACTAAAATTTAAGTCTCTAATAGTATAATTTAGTTTTATGTGAGAACTTTCGGCGACTAATATTTTAGTTGCCAAAAGATACCTTTGCCGACTAACCAAAGTTTAGTAGCCAAAAGTTCAATTTTAGCGACCAATAATTTAGTCACCAAAAGATCACCTTTCCCGACTAACCAAAGTTTAGTAGCCAAATGTTTAACTTTTGGCAACCAATAATAGTTTAGTTGCCAATACTATCGCCGATAGGGTATAGGCGACGAACTTGGTGACAAAAAAATTTAGTCGCTAATTAGATTCGGCAACCAAAAATTGGACTTTTGGCGACCAATATTTTGGTTGCCAAAACTGTCATTTCCCGTAGTGTTTTTCGGTTAAGTTTAATGCATTTTCGGCTCTAACTCCCAAACTACGCGTGCTAATTACATTCCGTCTGTTGTCTTAGGTTTTATTTGTGACGGGGAAGGTGGTTGTGACATCCGTACAGTGGTTCGGGGGCTGATTCGCATTTTCGCCTCCTTAACGCCATTTTTCGATTAAGTTTAATACATTTTCTGCTCTAACTCCCAAACTATGTGTGCCAATTACATTCCGTTTGTTGTCACAGGTCTTATTTGTGATGGGGAAGGTGGCCGTGACATCTATATGGTGGTCCGGGTGCTGATTCGCATTTTCGCCTCCTTAACGCCCTTTTTCGGTTAAGTTTAATACATTTTCGGCTAACTCCCAAACTACGCGTGCTAATTACATTCCGTCTGTTGTCACAGGTCCTATTTGTGACGGGGAAGGTGGCCGTGACATCCATACAGTGATTCGGGGGCTGACTCGCATTTTCGCCCCCTTAACGCTCTTTTTGGTCAAGTTTAAGGCGTTTCCGGCTCTAACTCCCAACCTAAACGTGCTAATTACATTCCATCTATTGTCACGGGTCCTATTTGTCACGGGGAAGGTGGCCGTGACATCCGTACGGTGGTTCGAGGGCTGATCCGCATTTTCACCCCCTTAACGCCCTTTTTCAGTTAAGTTTAAGCCATTTTTGGCTCTAACTCCCAACCTGCACGTGCTAATTACATTCTGTCTATTGTCTCAGGTCCTATTTGTCACGGGGAAGGTGGCTGTGACATCCGTACAGTGGTTCGAGGGCTGATTCGCATTTTCACCTCCTTAACGCCATTTTTCGGTTAAGTTTCATGCATTTTTGGCGCTAACTCCCAAACTACGTGTGCTAATTATATTCCGTCTGTTGTCACAGGTCCTATTTGTGACGAGAAAGGGGGCCGTGACATCCGTACGGTGGTTCGGGGGCTGATTCGCATTTTTGCCCCATTAATGCCCTTTTTCGGTTAAGTTTAATACATTTTCAGCTCTAACTCCCAAACTATGCGTGCTAATTACATTCCGTCTGCTGTCACAGGTCTTATTTTTGACGGGAAAGGTGGCCGTGGCATCCGTATGGTGGTTTGGGGGCTGATTCGCATTTTTGCCCCCTTAACGCCCTTTTTCGGTTAAGTTTAATACATGTTCGGCTCTAACTCCCAAACTACGTGTGCTAATTACATTCCGTTTGTTGTCACAGGTCCTATTTGTGATGGGGAAGGTGGTCGTGACATCCGTATGGTGGTCCGGGGGCTGATCCGCATTTTCGCCTCCTTAACGCCCTTTTTCGATTAAGTTTAATACATTTTCGGGTCTAACTCCCAAACTACGTATGCTAATTACATTCCATCTGTTGTCATAGGTCCTATTTGTGACAGGGAAGGTGGCCGTGACATCCGTACAGTGATTCGGGGGATGACTCGCATTTTCGCCCCCTTAACGCTCTTTTTCGATTAAGTTTAAGGCGTTTTTGGCTCTAACTCCCAACCTAAACGTGCTAATTACATTCTGTCTATTGTCATAGATCCTATTTGCCACGAGGAAGGTGGCAGTGACATCCGTACAGTGGTTCGGGGGCTGATTCGCATTTTCACCCCCTTAATGCCCTTTTCGGTTAAGTTTAATGCATTTTCGGCTCTAAGTCCCAAACTACGTGTGCTAATTACATTCCGTCTGTTGTCACAGGTCCTATTTGTGACGGGGAAGGTGGCCGTGACATCTGTGTGGTGATTCGGGGGCTGTTTCGCATTTTCGCCCCCTTAACGCCCTTTTTTGATTAAGTTTAAAGCGTTTTTTGCTCTAACTCCCAACCAACACATGCTAATTACATTCCGTCTGTTGTCACAGGTCCTATTCGTCATAGGGAAGGTGATCGTGACATCCGTACGGTGGTTCGGGGCTGATTCGCATTTTCACCCCCTTAACGTTTTTCAGTTAAGTTTAATGCATTTTCAGCTCTAACTCCCAAACTACGTGTGCTAATGACATTCCGTCTGTTATGACAGGTTCTATTTGTCACGAGGAAGGTGGCCGTGACATCCGTATGTTGGTTCGGGGGCTGTTTTCCATTTTCACTCCTTTATTGCCCTTTTTCGGGTAAGTTTAAGGCATGCTAATTAAGGTGTTTTGCCACAGATCCTATGTGTTTTTTTTTTTTTTTTTAGTTTAAGACACGCTAACCACCCATCTCTTCACCAACCTCATCATTGACCTAAGACTAGCACATTCCCATAAATTTACTTAATTCTACATCTAGAATCTAACTTGAGACTGGTTTGATCAACACATCTATAACAGTTGAAATGATCAATTAAGTAAACGTACATGACGTGAGGATCGCATGCATATTTTTCCTGTGCATGCAATGCCGCACCATTGATAAAAGCATTGAACCAAAGTCCAAACAAAGTTTTATAAGCTAGAAAGTGTCATTTCATCAACTCTAAGCACTAGAAATGCAAATAGACTCAAACCTTGACAGCCAAAGTAATTTGTCCACACTTTTTTTTAGTAATTTCCAAATAATGTTTGACAACCAAGAGTAGAGTCACAAATTCATATAATTAATTTGATATAAACACTCAAGTATTGAGAAAAATGAAGAAAATGAGGACATGTTTACCATAAGTACAAACTAAAGGCACTACAACTTGCCAAGGAAAAGATCAAGACAAATAGGAAAACAAGTCAAGGCTGTGAGAAAGCATAGGATACTTACCTGCTAATATGAACATATAAGGATGAATGAATGAATCCAAACTTCAATAAAGAATCCCAAAAATTCAATAGAAATCTAAATAACTAAAAACTAAATCTCTTTACATGGAATAATGACAAGAAGCATACTAATATACAAATCTAAGGACAAACCTCCCAAGTGAGAGCAAATTGCTGAAGGTAAAGGTTATTCCAAACTTGATTGGATTCAAGAAAACAAGCATAGACTACAAAATATCGAGAAAAAATTAGATTAGTTTCCATCGTAGGCATACCATAACATAACCATGTGAGACCTCTTCTATCATGAAATAGGACATGTTAAATGCTACAAGCCCAGAAAATTGAAATCAAGAACTACAGTTTCAAGTAAATCACATACCAAAAATAAATAAATATTCAAGTAAATCACAAAAGAAAAGAAGTTGCAAAAGCAACGGACCCAACCTTCAAGTAAAATAAGGTACAAGAAATAAAAAGAGAGATTAATACCAAACACTCACCTAAAACTAACAACCACTAAACACAATCCTAAACACTTCAGCAGGGATGCTCATCTAGAGCTCCTATGGTGTCGTTGTGTGTGACTAGAGTATAGGTGTGTGATAGAATGAGAAATTATACCTTCCACTAGACAAGAACTCAAAGATTAAGTCAAACCAAGTGTTGAAGGTCACACAACAAAACACAAACACACACAAAAGGTGGGAAACCTCTGTACGATGTGATCTAGAGTGTATAGAGATGGTAGAACACTCAACAATCATTGTAATTAAGTGCTAATTTTATTTATTATGAAATTGTGGACCCCTTTCTAGCTAAAGTCTTTTGGTGTTATGAACTATTAACAAAAACAATATTTGAAATGCATTCAATTGATTTTTAGATAGATATAATTAGTTTTGCACATGATTAATGCATAAAAAATCACTTGATAAATGTCTCTACTTATATATGTATATTGACACTTTTATGGAACTCTTGCTCTCAAGATATTTTTACAAAATGCGCTCAAACTCCCACTTAACTAATTGATCACTTGATGTTTAGATTTGCCTATTCTTTGATTTAGTAGTCTAAGTGACTGGTTAGCAGTGGTTGAGTTTAATACCATCACTAGTTGCACCAGGGTCAACTCAAACTGTAAAAATAAGAATGGACATTCAAACAACAGAACCCTCATCCACTTCTAAGCTATAATATTGGGGTTTCAAGTGCTCAACAGAAAGAGATTTTCTATACTACCAAGAGTAGAGTATTGTTAAAACCTATCACCTACTTCACCCACTTAAACCTACTCCACTAAACCTAACCCACTACACCACTACCACATCACCTACTCCACTAAACCTAACCCACCACCTACTCTCCACCTACTTCACCCACTTAAACCTACTCCACTAAACCTAACCCACCACCTACTCTCCACCTACTTCACCCACTTAAACCTACTCCACTAAACCTAACCCACCACCTACTCTCCACCTACTTCACCCACTTAAACCTACTCCACTAAACCTAACCCACCACCTACTCTCCACCTACTTCACCCACTTAAACCTACTCCACTAAACCTAACCCACTAAATCCACATACTCTCCACCTACTTCACCCACTTAAACCTACTCCACTAAACCTAACCCACTAAATCCACATACTCTCCACCTACTTCACCCACTTAAACCTACTCCACTAAACCTAACCCACTAAATCCACATACTCTCCACCTACTTCACCCACTTAAACCTACTCCACTAAACCTAACCCACTAAATCCACATACTCTCCACCTACTTCACCCACTTAAACCTACTCCACTAAACCTAACCCACTACACCACTACCACCTCACCTACTCCACTAAACCTAACCCACTACACCACTACCCAAAGAGTGGAGTACAAGTGGAGATCTTCATTCTTACCGATTGGGTTATGTTTTTACGAAAGATTCTCTTAGAAGCTTGGTCTTTTGCTCATCGCTTGAGGTAGGGTGCATTTAATTTAGCATTTCTTTGTTTTGGAGATGTATTTATGGTATTATTGTGACTTGAAATCTAATTTGATGATTCGGTTGGATAAACTTGCATTTCTTACAAAGGGAGCACATAACTCAGCTTTTATTAGAAAATTTCCAAATCTTTTCTTAAAGTGTGTATATAAATGTTAAGGAGATACTTATATATGAAGATGGGGAGAAAACCCTAAATTCGATAAAACCCTAGTTTTCAAATTGAGAGGAAAATAGTCTTAAGATGGGAATTTTCTTGAATTCTTGAAATGTTGTGAATAATGAAGTGATAAAATATATCAATAATGCTATGGTGTTGAAATTGAGGCAGGAAATTGATTCTTCTTGAATGTTATGTGTGAATTTCATCTCATACAATGTGAATACTTGTTAATTGAATGAAAATTTGGTAAATTGAGCATAAGTCCGGGTTAAGAGTCGGTTTTGATGTTATTGAATTGTGTTGGTATCAGTACGGGGAGTCAAGGTGCCTAATTACCCTGTCTTGAGCATATCGTCGGACAAATGTGGAAAAATGTTTTTGGGTGTCCACTAATCTTGCCGATTATAGTCAGTAAAAGTGGAAAAACAGATGATTTTGGATGCCCACGTCCTGCCGTATAATAGTCAGTAAATGTGGGGATGGTTTTGAATGAAAATGATTTGTGTGTGAAGTTTTGGACTCTTACTAAGGACTCATGGCATATTACTCTTTATAACACTGATTGTGATTTGATGTGATTCCCGTATCAATTTGGACTGGAAGTACTTAATTGACTGTTTCTTATTAACTACTAATGTAGTTGTGGTTATGATGGTGCAATGGACTTATTCAAATGATTAAATACTTGGTTAAATATATTCTTACTGGGCATATAGCTCAACCCTATTTTATTTTTCAGGAAATAATGTTGTACAACTACAGTGGTGACTTGAAGTAAGCGGTGTTACGATTGACAATTGAGAATATTTTGCTATAAAGACTTAGAATTTTGTACTAGGACTGTTAGACTTATTTTGTTGTTGCTTGTACACCCATGGGGTTCTTCTTTTATAATTGTTATCTTGTTTGTAGAACGTGGGATTGGGTACGAGGTTTTATGGTCATGTAAACATGGTAATTGTAAATTTAAATTTTAATTTTGTGAACAGGATGGCTTTTGGAATAAATTGTTACATTGGTTGCGATGGATTCATGTATGAAATGGCAGGTCTTTACATAAATTTTTGTCAAATGTGTTATTATTTTCAAAATGTGAATGAGACATTTGTGCAATATTGTCTTATTAAAGTTTTGTTGAATGTGACAATGAGACATCATTATAACATGTGCATTATTGTTTTATTACATTTTTTAACATGAGTATGCTTCATTTGGAAGATTTTAATGTGAGATAGGATTTATGGGTTTATAAGAATATTTATGGAACTAAATGGTTCATAAGATATAAATATAGGATTAATTAGTAAAAATAGCTTCTATTTGCACCCCAAAAAAGTAGGTTGGGCATCCTAATTTAATGGTATTTTTTTTATTACTATTAAAGTCCTTATTTAAAATGCCCAAAAAGTACTTGACTTTGGAAAAACTGTAAATAAAAGTGTTTTTGACACCCCATTCATTATCAACCCCAATATTCCTTTTCTCTCTTCTCTTCCTACTTCCATCACTTTGCATCGTCATACCCAACCCTATTTGCTTTAATCCATCATTTTTGCATTCTATTTCATATTGAAATCAGCAATGGACAATAAAGAAGGTGTTTCCAACCAATTTTCTATGGAGAAAGTAAGTTTTAATTGTTGTTCATTATTTTTCGTAGGTTGGTTTTCCGAACTGATTCGGCCCTGAGTATTCAAACAAACTTCACATGTTTGGAATTAAGTATTTAGGCAAATATATTTTGTTCGGCATTGAATATCCATATGAAATAAGTGAAACCATCAACATGTCATGATCAATAAGTAAAATCTAAATATTGTTTTGGTAAACTAATAAAAATCACAAAATATGAGGGGGAGGGAAACACAACACAATAAACAAACGAAACGATATAAACCATAAATTCAATATATGTGTTAATGGATTACATTGTCCAAACCCCAAATTCTCCTTATGAACAAAATGACAAAACATGTCTAAAATGAGCTCCATCACTGTTCAACCAAATAAAGTCAACAAAACCAAAAAACTAGTCTAAAATATTAATTTCATGTCCAAAAGCCATAAAAGAAGTTTGCAAGTCACAATTTCATGTCCAAAAATAACAACTTTAGCTCGCGAATCGGAAAAAAACACCATCTTTTGTGGAGTATTTAGAAGCAAAACTATGTGCCTACATCTTCAACTTCGGGGTGATCGCTTGGAAGAACGAGGACTTGAATTTTTTGATCAATTCTCGAACATCTCACCAAAAGAACAAAAACAAAGAAAGTGGGAGGAGTAGTGGTTTGGTTTGATGGACGATAATCAGAGATACTGAGACGATAATCGGGGAGAGAAAGAGAGAGAGAGAGATTATTGGAAATAGGTAGCCACCAGTGGATGTAGGAGTATTGGTTCGATTTGATGGAAAGATTGTGTAAAGGAGAAGAGACCCTCTTCATTTCGGATGAACTCAGAATCCATCTTCGTCGCTTGGAATTCCAAAGACCCCAACTGTGGTTTTTATTCCCCTGTTTATTGGTAATAGGGTGTACAAAGTAGATTTGTATAGAATTTTAGGATTTTTAGGGTTAAGATAGATATTATTTGGGGTATCCATACAAATAAATAACATTTCAAATTTATTATTGGGGTGCTTAAAGTGTTGTGACAGAGGTATTTTACCCGAAGAGATTGCACAGTCAAGGTGTACTTTGAAGACATGCAAATTATTCTAAGTATAGAATCATACAAGAGCAGAAAAAGAAGACATACATTCAAAGAAGAAATCAGAGAAATGCATTTAAAGAAGAAAGAAGGCTTTTTGGCCTGAATATTGAAAAATAAATTATTCAGACTACAAAAATGGCACCTTGGCCGGATTAAAAGCATACAAAGACGGACAAAGTACAAGGTACAAGGTACAAGAAGTAAAAGAAGGAAACAAAACTACTCGACATCAATGGCAGGATATAGAAGATAGTTTGGAAGACTTCTCAGCAGCCTTCTCGGCCTCAAGCTCAGCATCGATCTCCCGAAGAGTTTGATTAAGGCTCTTCTCGGTGATTGGCACCTCGGAGTTTGAAGGCAATGATTAAAAGCAAGAATCTGGAAAAAGACACAGAAAACAGAAACAAGAATGTAATTCGTAATCAAGAATGGTGATGAAGCTATCAGGAAATCAAGACAAAAAGATTGCACAAGTGTGTCAAGCCAAGGACAGTGGCAGAAATCAACAGATGTATGAATAGTGTGTATTTAAGAAGATGATTTGGAAACAACGGGTAAAACAGCAATGGTGATTAACAATGAAGCAGAGCTTCTTGGAAAGCAACAAGAAATAAAACTAGGAGGAACAGTGGCTTACCAGAAAGAGGGAAGCCAGAATGAGAATTGCCAAAGTCTGACGACAATGACAGAATGACGTAAGCTTCACCGGAGGAGAGGAACAAAGACAGTTGCAGAAGCTTGAAAGCTTGGAACAATGACGGATTTAAGCAAAAGAGCTAGAAAGAGAAAAAGCCAGAGGATTGAATGAAAAAAGAGAAAAATAGTCAAGAAGACGACAAAGTTCAAGAATAAAGCCAAGTGCACAGG